TAAAAACAGACTCCCCATCTTTTTCTTGCTCCTTTTATTTTTCCTTCCTTAAACATTTGGTGATAACCAATTGAGACCCAGAACTAAATTAGATGTGAGGGGTAGCAGGGTGGAGGCGGCATGGTCCTTGCCCTGAGGGAGCCTACAGTCTAGAGAAGGAAAGTGACAGGGGCACACGGAAAAAATGACACAAAGAATGGTGCAAGATGCCATGGGAGACCCACGGTGGAGCTGATTAGTTGCTTCCTCAAAAGCACCCAATGAAGTAAGTGCTTTTTAAAAAAAATTTAGTTGTGCTGGGGAGTAAACTCAGGGCCAGGGTCTTACACATGCTGATTTTACAGGTGAGGAAATTAAAACAGGACAGGGAAGTCACTTGTCCAGGGTTGCATCACTCTGTGGACGATGGGGTTGGGGCCGGCATCCAGGCAGTCAGATGGCAGAACCAGATTGCTCTGTTAAGGAGCTGGAGGCTACGTCTGCTCTTGGCTGGGTCCTTTCCACATCCAGAGGCTGCAGCCTGAGGTCCGCCCATGTCCCTCCCCAAGCCATACCTGCCTTCCCTTTCCTTGCACTGGAAGGCATTGGTCCACCATCACTAAGAGCCCTGAGGCTCATCCCTGGCCCCAGGTCCAGACTTCAGCCTCTCTCTGCTGCCCAGGGACATCGTGGGGTAGCAACAATCACTCCTTGGTCTCATCACTTCCTCCCTCTTGTTACATCTCTTCCTTCCCTCTTGAGAACGTCCCCTACTTGTCTCGTGTGGCTGTGGCTACTCTGCCCCATCTACTGCTAAACTTCTCGGAGCTGTTAAACCTGCTGATCCTGCTCGTCCCTCACGGCACTGCACCCCTCTCCATAGCTGCTCTGAACCTTCCTCTCCAAGGACACCCATGTCCCCGCATCCTTTCCGCCTTCTCTTTAGCTGGCTTGATCTCCACGCATGAGAAGCCACCATAGCTCCCTCCTCCCTTGAACCGTTCCATCTTGGACTTCCTAGGTGCCAGCGTCTCCCGCCCTCTGCCACTCCTCAGCCGCCTTTCCCAGCATCCTCTACCAGTGTCTCCACAGCTGTGTCTGTGGGTGTGTCCTCTTCCCACCTGGCCTCATCCACCCCAGAGCCTCGGCTCCTTTTCTGTGCTACGGTGACTCCCATTGGTCACGCTGCAGGAACACAGTCACAATGCCTGACACCTCTGCGCGAACAGCCCGACCCTGAGCAGGCCCTCCCCCAACTGCGGGAGGAGCACCGCTGCTCATTCCTCACCCAGCAGAACCCTGGGAACCATCCCATCAGGTGTCTGTCCCACCCCATTATAACATCTCCAGTCTAAAGTCTTTTCCAGTTCCCTACTTACTTCAGGGCTTTGACCGCATCTGCTCCCCACCCCCACCTCTGTACCCCATGCTGTCTCATAGACAGGTGTCCCTACGGTGCAGATCTGATTCCATCCCCACTTAAAATCCTTCACTGGCCGCCAATGTCCAGAGACCAAATCCAGATCTCCTATGCAGCAGTCAGGACTCTTCTCCCACCATGCCCACACCGCACTCCATGCCCGGGCTCCATCCTGGCCGCACGGTAGTTTGGAGGACCCAGTGCCCTAATAGACGGCAAGCTATGCTGTAGTTTCTGGCACAAGGTAAAAACTCAAATCATGCGAGGGTTTATTATTCCAGCAGAGGTAGAGGAGTCGTGGTGGGCTTCCCAGGGAAGGTGGCATTGGTGCTGGCCCTTGAACCAGGGGAAGGATTTGGATATGTGGAGCTGTGGGGCAGCAGGAATGCAGAAAGGAGCAGGGCGTGTGGAGGTCAGGGACAAAACCTTGGCAACTCAGGTTGGCCGGACCCCGAGCAGAGGATTAAAAACAGGAAATGTCAAGCTACTCTAAATTCAGTGTCTGTTCTGTGGACAGTGGGGAGCCATATATAGATACAAAGCGGGTGAGACCGCCTCCGCCACCATCCTTTAGCTGATAGTCCCTGTTTGCCCCCTGCCTTCCCTCTGATCCCCCCACACACAGCCAGAGGGGTCTTTTAAAAACTGGCATCCAATCATTTCATTCCCCTGCCCCTGGCCTGATATTTTTTTGCTGGCTTCCAATGCTTCTTGGACAAAGATGTCTTTCCTTTTTATTTATTTTTCCAGTACTGAGGATTAAACCCAGCGCCTTTGCAGTATACTACATATCCAGCTCCTTTTACATTTTTTAAAAATTTGAGACAGGATCTAAGTCACTAAGTAGCCCAGGTTGGGCTCAAACTTGTGATTCTCTTGCCTCATCCTTCCAGAGTGCTGGGATCACAGGCATGTGCCACCACACCTGGCAGCCTCCTCCTTTCGGCCCTGGCAAAGCCCTACCTGGCCTGGCCCGTCCACATCCATGGCTCCTGGTCCTCTATCAGCTGCAGCCATGCTGCCTGCATCTGGTTCCTCCTACTTCCTTCAGCCAACAGTTATTTATTGAACATCTACATACCTGCCAGGCAGCACATTTACACGGTATTATTTCTGCCTGGAATTCTTCTGAAAAAGAATGTATTTAATTCTTACTTATCCTTCACATTAATTCCAGAGCCCATCATTCAGAAAGTTTTTCCTGACTCTCTGCTTTCTGAATTTTTTTTATTTTAAAAATTTAAGAAAACTAACAAAACAACAATGAAGACAAAATCAAAACAACACAAAAACAATACATAACCTCAAAACAAAATGATAGGAATTAACAATGGTTGCTACATTACATACTGTTATCTTCAATGAAGTTGCTCAGTCCACCAGACATAAGAATGTAAGACTGATCAAATAATCAAAGACAGTAATAAGTAATAAAAAAACAACATTGGAAATGATGCAGAGCTTTACCATACAAGATGGTAGGAGTTCAGCAGCGCTTCTTATACTGCATATTGTTGTCTTCAGATCCGTCATTCTGATTACCAAATTCAAGTGTGCAAAATTGGTCAAGAAAAAAGAAAATTTTAAGCATTGACTGTTCTTTTCAATAAACCACAGACATCAGCCATACACCTATTCCAGCTATCCTTATATATACATATAAATTTCGTTTCTCCACTTTCATAAACTCTCACAGTACCATATATCTCTTCTCTGTAACACTACCCACAGTTGTACTTTGTCTTTGCTTGTGGGACTGCAAGAGCCAGGCTATGCGTTCCATGAGCATAGAGACTGGGATGATCTTGCATACTGCTACATTCTGGGAGCCTGGGACTGTACCTGGTATAAATGTCTATGATGTGAAATGGTGGCCCAGGGAGTAGAATGAAGAATAACAGCTTGGAGCCAGAAGCATCTTCAGGAGGCCGTGGCTGTGTCCCACATGAAAAGGGGTGCTTGGAACTAGGGCAGGTGAAGGAAGTTATGAGGGAGGAGTAGCAGTGGAGCTGACTGGGAGGGGAAACAAATTAGCAGGTTGGGGGCTGGGAGTATACATGAGTGGGTGGCAGGGCCCTTGGCCCAGCACAAGACCTTGGGTTCAACGCCCAGCACCACAAAATAAATGAGTAAATTAGCAAGGTGGGGTGGCAGAGGCCTTGTGACCTAGAGGGTGGACTGCAGACTGTTCCCAATAAATAGGGCTTGGGCAAGTTAGAGGAGTCACACAAGGCAAAGAGCAGACTGAAGTGGATGTCACACTGTCCTGGAAGTAGCCTGGAGTGGAAGTGCGGAGGGGTGTGTGTGTGTGTCTGTGTGTGTGTCTGTGTGTGTGTGTATGTAGTGGTGGTGGTTAAAATTCTGAGCTACGAAGAGGACAAGACTGCAGTAAGGGGCTGGCACCTGCATCAAGAGACCAGAGCGGAAGGGTTTCTTTTCCCACATTTCTGAACCTCAGCTTTGTCATCAGGGAAGTGGGGCAGCACTGCCAGCTTCCCGGCATGATTGTGAGGTTGAATGAGATCATCAGGTACTGTCCTGAGCAAGCTGCCTGGCATGAAGTAAAGGCTTGATAAACCTCCACCACAACCATCCTTATCATCGTTGTCATCAAACTACTTCACTACGTTTTCATGCTGAAGAATTAGAACATAAAATAACCAAGTGTGTGGCCTGAGGCCCTGAAAGCAGCCACACTTGGGCATATTCTGCTTGGGCCTGTTCCTAGTGGAGCTGAGACAAGTCCAGGAAGCCTGAGAAGAATAGATGGATTCTAGAGTGAGGGACTGAGGTCGTGGGGCCAGCCCTAGCCAGCAGGTGACCCTGGATCATCCTAAGCAGGGGCACAAGGCCGGCCTTGCAAACGTTCGGACGCACCTCCCACCAGAACCTTCCAGGGTCCTCCCTGTTCTTAATCTCCCCATCCCCGCTTGCATCCACCTGGTTTCCTGAGATTAACTAGGTCCAAGGGTAACAGCTCACCAAAGAGTGATACACGGATCAGGCTCCAGCTCCAGCTCCAGCCTTCCCCACCCAAAGCCCCTTGTCTGTATTGTATGATCCAGAAGGTGAGATTGACAGAACAAGGATGTGGTCTTGGATGGAAAACAGGGGGAGGACAATGCTTTTGTTTTCTTTTGTGGCAAGCGGGAGGCTCACAGAGGAAGAGGAGGCGGGAACAGCCCAGGGGCTGTGTTCGGGTGTCAAAGGGGCTGCAGAGGAGAGCCTTGGGCCAGGGTCTGGAGGGCCCTGGTCTGTCTGTTCCAGCAAGATGGCCAGGCCTGTTAGTGCCTGGATCTTTACCACACCACCTGCCATTACTGCCCTTCCCCTGCCCCTGCTCCATTGCTATCCGGAGAGGAAGTGGCCCGAATTGCACTGCAGCTGTATCCTGCCAGTGCGGGGTAGGCTTGGTCAGGGGTCCCCACAAGAGGCCAGGTCACTTCTCTAGGAGGACCCCTCCTCCTCTCCCTTAGGAGGGCTACCGGAGTGTGAGTAGCAGTGGGAATGAGGTGTGCCTGGAAACCCATCCGGAGGGGCTGCCAAGCCTGTACAGCTGACGGCAAGACTTCTTGCGGTCTCCGTTCTCCTCTCTCTGCAGTCTCGAAGCAGCATGCAGCATGGGGACATGGATGGGGCCCGGAGGCTGGGCCGCCTGGCCCGGCTGCTCAGCATCAGCTTCATCATCCTGGGGATCGTCATCATCATCGTGGCTATCAACTTCCTAGGTGAGGCACAGCTGCATGGAGGAGAGGGAGCCACTGGGGTAGGGACAGTGGGTGGGGGCCACAGCCTTATCCTTCCTCTCCAGAAAAGTGGCCCAGCTCTGCGGCCGTGACCACATGAATGGGGATTTTCTGACTTGTCTCACACCCAGGCAGTGAATCAAAGAAAAAGGATGTGAAAAGGACACAGACCTGGGAGCTAGAGGCCATGAGCTCTAGTCTCATCTCTGATGGTCCTGGGACCTGGGCCAGTGAGCTGTTTGGTTGAGCTCAGTATTTTCATGTATCAAGTGCCAGGAAAAAGCCTCCAGCAGGAAAGGTTTTGTGAACATCATTCAGGATAATGGATGTGACTCTGCTTTGTAAACTGTGGGCCTGATGCACTGATCTTCCTGCTGAGGCAGCCAGTCTACTAGACCAGAAGCAAACCATGCACTCAAAGAAAGTCAGGAAGCACATTCTGTGAGCACCTGAGATGGCTCAGGGATGTTATCCCAGCAGGGCAGCTCTCAAAAAATTTCAGCATGCTGGGTGTGGTGGCGCACACCTGTAATCCCAGCTCTCAGGAGGCTGAGGCAGGAGGATTACTGCAAGTTCGAGGCCAGCCAGGGCCACAAAGTAAGCTCAAGGCCAGCCTGAACTGCATAGCAAGACCCTGTCTCAATAAGACAAAAAAAAAAAAAAAAAAAAAAAAAAATTCCAGCATGGACTGTTTTAGCTTTGGGCAAGGCTGACTCCAGTTGAGAGAATGCTGGTGATAGGAGTCTGTCTCACTCTCTTGTTCTGCTTTCCAGTGTGTTGGCCTCATTCCTAGGCAAGATCCCTCCCTATGATGGCAAGATAGTAGCTAGCAGCTCTAATAGTGTCCCAAATAGTGCCGTACATTTTAATCAGTCCAGGAACTAATCAGGAACAAAGAGAAGTGTCTCTTTGTTAACAGTTATAGCAGCAGTTCCAGGATCCTACCTGATTGGCACAGGTAGGCTCACCAGGGCCAGTGTTCTCACTGGCAGGAGTTCAGTTCCACCAAGAATCCCAAACCAAGAGGTCCTTGATGTGGTGGTCTCATGACCCCCGTGGGAAGCCAAGACTCGGAGACTCCAAATTTGGGAGGCAAAGGCGTTTATTTCAGGCCTGGCTGACGCAGACTCTTGGAATCGATCTCGAGAATGCGCGCCTCACAGACTAAGCGCTCTGAATTTAAGCACAAAAACCGCAAGAAGGGCAGGGATGGGGTGATAGGAAAGCAGATCAGGCAGGTGGCGCTTTGCTCAGTTGCACAAGGACAGCTGGTTTTTTCATTATGTCCTTTTAAGGGAACATTACCTTGGTCTAACACAACATGCTTATCAGTACAGTATAACGGTCAGGTCACGAAGACTCAAGAGAAATTCCACAGCATAACATGTTTATCATGGCTACTCAGGCGCATACAAAACAGCAATGTAGCGCAAGGTTATAACACTTGATCCTATACAGTAGCCTATTAGCATTTCTCACAAACCAGACTCAAATCAGGGGCTTGAAAACCCAACGTTCTGAATTCTGTTCCGCCATTGCTCTTCTTTTCTTTACAGTTCCGAAACACAAGTAACCAGGAAGCTGTGCTAGTAGAGGCGGATGCTGGCTAGCTGGAGAGCCCTGAACTCACACACCCTACACACCACGAGAGGACAGGATGGTGACTGCCTAGTGCCCATCTCTCTCCCCAGCTCCAAAAGCACAAACTTGGAGGGCAACTCCCAAGTCATCCCACTGTCAGCCCACACCGGATGAGAAAATCTGGAGGAAGGAAAGAAGGGAAGAAGGAAGGAAAGAAATTTGTGGTGGAACCAATGAGTGATGTAGGTTAATCTCATGGACACGTCCTGACATTTCGGCCCCTATGTTCTGGGTTATTTCTCATCCCTACAATTTTCTGGACCTACCAAGCAGCATAAACTGCCAGAATGAGAAGAACCAGCCCCACAAAGAAGTCCATCTCTGGTAGGAGAAGAAACATCGCTGGACCTTCATGTCTGTGGACCAGGAGCAAAGATGCGGGATTTCATCTTTTGTATTTTTCCTGAGGGGGAGAAAACAGACCATTTGCATGCTTTGTGCCACATGCCTGCCGTGATCCCAGCCGGAGCTTCCAGGCGAGGCTGCCCCTCAGTACCTGCCCTGGCTGCCCTCAGGCCTGTGGGGGATGCAGAGATGCCTGGGAAGAGGGAGCGGCTGCAAGTGCTTCCTCCATCTCAAGGTGTGGCACTGAGAAGAGCGTTGGCGAGGACAGATGCAGGGGCAGCGTGATGCTCTTCCTGAACTTTTCAGCCTGAGGCCCTCTGCGGAGGACTCTGGTTGGCTTGTGTCTCCCAGGACCACTCAGCCTGCCTCTTGGGCTTCACCTGGGCTGCAGCCGGGGGCACTAACTGGGAACTCCCAAGACCTGACCGGATCCAGGCCAGTCAGTGGCAAAGGGTGGGAGTGGGGATGTAGCTCAGTGGCACAGCGCCTGCCTGGCAAGCACAAGGTCCTGAGTTTGATTTCTGGTACCAAAAAACCCCACCAAAAAAAGGCAAAAGGTGGATCTGAGTTCTTTTTTTTTTTTTTGTACCGGGAATCGAACTCATGACCTCAGGCTTTCCAGGGAAGCACTTATTCCGCTGAGATACATCCCTGGCTCCTGAGTTCTTGTTCTGTCCTGGCCTTCTCAAAGGACAGTTGGGCACAAGCCCAGGAATCTCTGCAGAGTGGCTCAGAGGTCCCCATGAAGATTGGTTCTGGGTGGGCATGGCTTCAGGCTCCAGGCCCGGCCCCATCAGATGCGCTGTGCTTGGTCTTGTGTTTCTGGTCATTGTCACACAGCCAAGGCTTTCCCTGAAGGTGGCTTTGGGACCTCACTTAGGGGGACTTCCCATGGGTCCCCAGGATGTTATGGTTGTTTGCCAGGGAGTGGGCCAGGGTATTGCTATGAAGCCTTGTTTCTTGGGTCCTGAGTCCTCAGACAGAGGGAAGGGCATAGCTGAAGGGTGCCATCTTTAGAGAGGGGGAAGCCCACGCTTGGGAAAACACGTGTATGTTGGAAGCATGGGGCTGGACTCTCGAAAGTTGCTGAGCAGGGCCCTCTGCCTCCTGCCTGCTTTTACATCCCTGCTTTCTTCCTCACAAGGCTGTACCCACAGGGTTCCCACTCCCTGCATGCCCCCCGCTCCAGGGCAGACCTGGACAGGGATGCTCCAGGCTTCCCTGCCTTGCAACCAGAGTGACCGCTCTCAAGGGGAAAAGGTTCCGAGCCACAGACACACTGCCCTGAGCTTGGCAAGGTCTGTCTCTCCCCTACCCATCAAGATCCTTATGCCTCCTCTCCAGGGCCACCCACTCTCTCAGAGGCTCTGGACACGGGAGGAGCTCTGGGTCCTGAGACACTGGCAGCTCTGAGCCTTCTAGACAGGGCCCAAGTGCCTGCTGGGAGAGCAGGGGCATTGAGGCTGGTGTTCCTATATCTCAGTCCCAGTGACATAGGGATAAACTCCAGCCTCTGCTGCTCTTAAAGCAGGGACTGGTTTGGGTTTGCTGTATGGAATCTTTGAAGCTGAAACAGAGACATTCCCATTTGCTGGGAGGAGAATGGAGGGGGCAGAGTATTTATGTCACTTGGGAGGTCAGGTCAGGCCAAGGGAGCGATTCTGTGGGATCAGCTGTTCCCAGGCCTCTGCTCATGCACGGGTGGTCTCCCACTGGGCCTCGGCCCAGCTTTAGCAACGCTGGAGGGGAAGGAAGGGAATCATGTGGTTTAGGGGTAGTCACGTGGTGAAACTGAGGCAGAGGCGAGGCTCCGCGGCCTCTGTGCTCTTGGGGTGCATTCATATCCAGGTCCTCCCGGGCTCCGGTCGCACCTGACATCAGGCCCACTGTGCACGCCCTTTCACACGTACACATGCTCTTCCACACGCCAAGCCCAGAGCAGTCACGGGCTGGGCTCAGGTGAAGCCACCAGCACACAGCTCTAAGAAAGGCTCCACCGGACCCTTTTCCGGTTCAAGCACAAACAACTTGAGAGCTTCCTACCAGCACCAGGGATGCAGCTCAGACGATCCCAGAGGCTGGTGCCTGGGCAGCAGGCGCTCAAGGCAGGAAGAGAGCAGAGTCCTGGATGAGAGGAAGTGGAGGGAAGGTCGCCGCTGCCCCGAGCCACGGGCAGCTTGGCATCTCCAGGCCGAAGCTGGGAGGGGCAGTGGCCCTGCTGTCCCATCTCCGTCTTAGACCCAGTCGCCTGCCACCCGAACACAGTGGTCCCCTGGCTGGGGCGCTGACCCACTCTTTCTCTGGGGCCCCTAAAGAGCAGCAGAAACTACCCGCTCCCCACCACCAGCACCACACGCACCAGTGATCCTGTATTTCTTGGCATGGAGAGAAATAAAGTTGAATGTACGTATTCCCTGGCCTGTGTGTATGCGCCGCTGAGCTCCAGAGATTCCCAGCAACTGGGGAGAGGGGGCCTGTGTATTCAGCCTCTTGGCCCCAGTGTCAGGGGTGGCCCTAAGGACCCTGGGCATCCTGGGTCTCCACAGATAAGGCACAGCCTTCTTCTGTGCAGGTCATTTGTGTTCACTGGGCCTCAGTTTCTTCCTCTGTAAAACAAATGTGTAGGGGCTGGGAATTTAGCTCAGCGGCTCAGCGCCTGCCTCGCAAGCGTGAGGTCGTGAGTTCGATTCCTGGTATGGGAAAAAACAATAACAACAACAAAAATAAAACAAGTGGGTAACACGGGTCCCATCTTCCTCCATCATTTTTACTATTATGAACAAGGACTTGGGTGGAAGGAAGAGGTGAGAAACCAGCTCTTGCTGCTGGCTCTGGGCATGTGCTGGGTCCTTGGCACACATTGATAAATCCACATGGAAGTTATGGTCACCAGTACCATCAGCCCCCTGTTCAGATTAGTAAACTGAGGTTCAGAGAAGTTCAGGGCCTTATGTAGGGTCATACCATGCTCAGTATAGGTGTCAAAGACGTGCTGGTGACATGACTTGATCCCTAGGTCTGTCTGAACCCAAAGTTAGCTTCTTCGGCCAGACTTCACTGCTCAGAAAGGAAAAGCACCATGAAAAAAGGTGAAGGTTAGTGGTTTGGGGGGGAAATGGTGGGAGGGGGATCCATCTTCTGGTCATAAGTCTGCTGCAGGCAGGGGCTGCTTTCCTGAGGAGGGTCAGGACACCGGCACTGGGGCTGGCACGGAGCGCAAGAGGCTGGGCAAGCAGGAGACCTGGGCGGAGCAGGGCGAGGGAGGAAGAGAAGGAGGGAGAGAGGGTGCCAGGACCGAGGGGCAGCAGGACAGAGAGGAGAAGGCTAAGAGAACCAGAGCCAGCCCACCCGGGTTCAAATCCTGCCTGGTTACTTACTGGCTGCATCCCCTTGGGGAAGCCCTTTAGCCTCTCCGTGAGCATACAGTGAAGCAGTCCAGGTACAGACCGTAGCACACACACTCAGACCGCCCCATCTGCCTCCCCTGGGGCAACATAAAGGCCTGAATCTGGAGCTTTCATTGAGACTAAGGACCTGCCAAGCCAGAGGCCTGTTCCCAGGTTCTCCTCTCTCTCCAGTCGGCCTGGCTTGGTTGAGCAGGTTGCCAGGCCCACTGCATACCTTTGCCTGGAGGGCTGAGACCTGCCTCCCTCATCCTGCACAAACAGGGGCCTGTTTACACCCTTCATGAGAGTTTGTGGGAGAGTTAAAGAACAACTATCATCTACCCGCTCCCAGGCTCTGCTTGGAAGGGGAGGGTAGGGGTGGCTTTCTTAAGTGACCCCAAGGCTGGATTCTCCCTCTCTCTTTCCACAAACCTGTACTAAGCACCTACAATATGCGAGGCCCTGTCCTGGACCCTGGGGACATAAAGATGAAAAGGTACAAAAAAAAAAAAAAAGATGAAAAGGCACAATAATACAAAACAAAACCCAAAACAAAAACAAAAAAAAGCCAGGCATGGTGGCACTCACCTGTAATCCCAGCACTCAGGAGGCTGAGGCAAGAGGATCGCTGTGAGTTTGAAGACAGCCTGTGCTACATAGTGAGTTCAAGGCTAGCTGGAACTACATAGTGAGACCCTGTCTCAGGAAACAAGCAAACAAACAAAAAATAAGACAAACCAAAACAAAAGGCAAAAAGGACAGATTTCTGGGATCATATGACTTCTGACCTAAAGGAAAACTCTATGGAAGGAAGGGGAGGATTTGCTGCGGGTTGGGGACGTGAGTGCCTTCAGTAGATGAAGACAGCAGGGAGTAGGTCCTGGAGCTCCAGAAACCTGGGAGATCCAGGGAGCCAACCAGTGGGGAGGCTCCTCCACCAGGAGCCTCTCAGGTCAGAAGCACTGTGTAATAGAAATTCCTCCCAGCCACACTGGGGCGAGGTGAATGATTCCTCATGCTGGTCCCTGAGCTCCTTGTAAGAATTCTCTCGCTTCATCCTCCTTCAGAGGAGACCAGCTATCTTCCTGAGAAGAAACAGATCAAGTGACATGCCCAAGATCATGCACTTAGGCACAGTAGTAAAGCAGGACAATCCCTCAAAAATATTTTCTTTTTTTTGTTGTTGTTGTTGTTGTTTTGTTTTTTTCCAGTACCGGGAATTGAACTCATGACCTTGTGCTTGCCAGGCAGGCGCTGTGCTGCTGAGCTAAATCCCCAGCCCCAGGTAATAGATTTTCATCCACGTAACAAAATACATACCGAAGGAAAACAACTTCAAGGAGGAAAGGTCTATTTTGGCTCACAGTACTAGAGGTTTCAGTCCATGGTTTACTGGCTCCATTGCTTTAGGCCTGAGATGAGGCAGAATATCATGGCGGAAGTGTGTCAGAGGAAAGGTGCTCACTCATCTCATGGCAGCCAGGAAGGAGGCAGGGAGAGGAGAGGTAGAGGGGAGGGGAGGGGAGGGAGGGACAGAGAGAGAAAAGAGAAAGGCAGAGGCAGAGACAGAGAGACTGAGCTGGTAGGCTTCTTCTTTCTTCTGCTTTTGCCTCAGCTTTTTGTGTGGTCCCCAGAGCCAGGCAGGTCTGCCCTGTCAGTTTGCTGTCCCACATGCTGGGCCTCTCTGGAAAACCCTCACACATCCAGAAGTGTGCTTTATTAAGCTCCTAGGTAGCTCTCAACCCAAGCAGGTTGACAGGCACGATTACCCATCACAGACAACAAGCCTCTCCAGGCCTTAAAAAGCCTGAGAGCTCCTCCAAGGGAGTTGGCCATTTTAATGTCCTTCACTCCACTGCCTGGCATGTGACAGCCACATTTCTCTGCAAGCCTTTGCCTCTGTGCTGTGCCACAGTGACCTTTTCAAAGTCATTTTAGCCACTTCCTGGGGGACCAGTTAAGATGAAATCCCACCAGGACAATGCTCCCAACACTGGGCGAACAGGCACCTTCTCCACATGCACCATCAGTGGTGACTGCACCACTCTACTACCCAGCTCGGTGGCCTGCAAGCTTCTGTGGCATCATTTTCAGACACAGTCCAGTTACAGAAACATAAACGGGGTGGGAGGCAGGACGTGTGGTTC